TTGACAAATATTATTAATTGATATAAAGTAGAAAAAAACTTATTTAATATCAATAAATTCATGCCATTATAATTTATTAATAATACAACATAACTATCGTAGTCTCCTTTAATGAAATTATAATATATAATAATAATTTTTTAAATAAATAGAAAATATTATAATCTTCAATAACTTAAAATTTATGCATATTAATATCATATAATCATGTTAATTATTATGAATATAAGTTTTCATTATAATATATTATATATAATTTGTTATTAATAATGAACTATGCTAATATATTATTTATGTAAATGTCATTATATTATTATAATTAATTATTAATTGTATACAATACTATAGTTATGAAAATAAATACAACAATTTGAAAGTATTATTATCATTATTGAAATTAATCAATCACAATTATTCAAATCAAATGATATTTTTCTTTATTTCTGAATCACACAATAAATTAATTTTATAAGTTTATTAAATAAAATATAATGAGGTTAAATAGCAAACAACACAAAAAAATATAGTACCAAACCACAATAAACAAATAAATAAACTCGTTTTGTTACTTAACATTTTAAAAATATGTTTAAAATTTGACAACATCCACAGATCTCTTACTAATTAGTATAAAACCAAACCAATTAAAACATACTATTGTCATTATTCAAATTACTCAACCACAATTGCTCAAGCTAAATGATATTTCTTTTGTATTTTTTATTCACATAATAAATCAAATTTACTTATTTAATAAATGAAACATAATTAGGCTAAATGGCAAACGACACAAATAAATATAGCACCAAACTACAATAAAAAAAAAAAAACTCATTTTGTTACCTACAATTTTAAAAGGGTTTTCAAAATTTGACAGCGTCCAGAGATCTAGATTAACTGGTATATTGGCATAAATCACAACATATAAAAAACAAAATCAAAATTAGAATAAAGCAAAATTAAGATAGAAAATACAAAGATAGACTTTAAAAGGGAAAGAAGGTAGATATTGTAAGAAAGCTTAGAGACAAAAAGAGAGAGGTGTGTGGAAAGAAAGAGAGAGAGAGAGGGCCTCGAGTGGGAGATGAGAGAAAGGAGAAGAAAGAGAGAGGGACATGTATCAAAAAAAATACCGCAGGTTGCCTTCTTGCTTAAGGGTGCAAGCTTTCTATGCTTCCCCCTACGGCATAGAAGTTCCATCCTGCCCTTATCCAATCGTCCATTCTGAATGGAGGGCTAAGAATCTCTCAATCACAATGTCATGTCTCTACACTATTTTATCTTTAATTTTTTTTCTATAAACTATTTTGACACCAAAATTTGGACGTCCATTCATCTATCAAACTCGCACTAACAAAAAATATTAAAAAAAAATTATTTTCAAATAAAAATAAAATGACCAAAAATACCCCTGAAAATTTCAAGGGGTATTTTGGTCATTAATTTTTATCAAAAAATTATTGTTAATATTTTTTATAGGTGCACCCCAATGAGAAGATGGTACGTACCAAATTTCAAATTCAGAAATTTTGTATTAACAAAATTAAAAATAAAATACTTTGAAACGTCGGATCTAAGATCAAACGATGAGTGGCTCTCTTGATCAAAATTGAACGGCTGGATGGTAGGGAGAGGATAGAACTTCTATGTTGTAGGGGAAGCATAGAAACCTTTCCCCTTGCTTAATATATAGTATAATTAAATTTATAAATTTATTAAATAAAATATAATTAAGTTAAATGACACACAACACAAAAAAAATATAGTACAAAACTACAGTAAATAAAAAAAAAACTCATTTTGTTACTTACGATTTTAAAAAGGTGTTTAAAATTTGACAGTGTCTAGAGATCTATGACCACTTGGTATAAAACCACGACAATTAGAAAATACTATTGTCATTATTCAAATTACTCGACCACAATCACTCAAGCCAAATGATTTTTTATTTTTTTTTTCTGATTCACACAATAAATCAAATTTATATATTTAATAAATAAAATATACTTAGGTTAAATGGCAAACAACACAAATAAATAGAGCACTAAATTATAATAAATAAATAAAAACTCATTTTGTTCAAAATTTGGCAACATCCACGATTAACTGGTATATGGGCATAAATCACAATCTCGCAAAAAACCATGTCAAAATTAGAATAAAACAAAAGATCTCACTAAAAAAGCCCATAACAATTTGTAGAACATCTCAACATGGCCTTTGAATCTTCTCCAGCGGTGCCAAATCTGATTTGTACGATGGTTTTCAGGGTTCAAACCTTACAATTTGTTCCTCATTCAAATCTAACCCAAAAACAAAGAAAAAAAAAAACACACACATGCACATAGATAAAGACAATCAAACAAGAAAATGCTAAACAAAGATCAATTTTCGGTAATATATATATAAAAGAGTATAAATAATAACAATAATAATAAGAAATATGCTTTCTTTTAACTGTGTTATACAAGAAAATCATCATTTTCGAAACACAATCAAACCAAATAGATTAAATACATAAACAAAACACAAGGAACCAGACCAACTAAACCTAAACAAATTTATGTAACAATTAACACAAAATATAGTACTACTAAAAAATCAACAAATTTAGGTAAAAATCAAGAGAAATAAAATTCGAAACTAGAAGAAAAACAAGGGGCTTCAATATCGAATAAAAATCCCTCACAAGTGATCTAAAAATGAACATTACCGCTCCTTACTAACATTTGGTAGTAACAAAGAGTAAAAATGGGAGGAAAAAGGATTTCAGAAAAGGAAATTCAAAGAAAAATATTCTACTTAACCAATGCATCCACTTCAACTTGATATCTCACCACACAAATAAAAACCAGATCAATAAAACAACTCAACAGCAATAATGACTCATAATATACAGAAACAAACACTAAGAAACTGAAACATAAAAATTCAAGCACATAAAATTCACAGTTCATTCATACCTGTGAAAGAAGAAAATATTTCCCTTTTTCCCCTTTTCTCTCTCTCTAAATAAAGAGAAAGACCCAAACTCAAATGAAATCAAATACTTCATTTTTATACCTTTGCTTTTCTCAGAGGTGTTCAGAGGGAATGGCACGTGTCAATTTGGGAGGGAAGACAGACACGTGTAAGTTGTGAGGATTGACCGTGTCACTTTTCCACGTCATGTAGCAGATCTGATAACCATCTAACTCCACTTAAACAGGTTCTAAATAAAGGCTGGGAAATGGTCTTAAATACCCCTGACAAATTGACAAAACCCATATTTTTAGAAAGACGAAAGTGTCCCTAAGGGTCAATTTTTCATTGCTTTATTTGGGACTAGTACAATGCACCTACATTCCAGGTATTATTAAAATATCATGCATGTAATGTTTTTATAATTATATTTTATAAGAAAAATAAATTTACAAAATTTAAAATGAAACAAAAACTAAACTAAATTCCATAATAAAATAAAAATAATAGTTTTTCACCAATGTACGAGAAAAGCGAAAGAGAGAGAATGTTTTTTATAGCGAAAGAGGGAGAAAATATTTTTCTTAAACAAACAACAATGACTTAGCTACTATTTGATTGAATAGACGTAAATTAGTGAAATACATAAATTATTTATATATTATGTTAAATAACACATAAAAGTTTAATATATCAAATTAAAGTAACATAAAAAGAATATTATTATGATTATTAATTCAGTTATAGTAATATTTATTACTTATAAAAATAAATTTATATTATATAGTTATTCATATATTATTAAAATAGATTAGTGTGAAGAACACAAAACAATAGATTGATGTTATTGAGTTAAAATTCTATGACATAATTGTTGTATCTATCACTAATAAAACTATATTTAATATCATTTATAAGTATAATTATTATTTTTTATGTACACATATTGATCACATTTATAATGTCAACCAAAAGTATCTCCAGAAATAAGAAAATTAATGTGGAATATATTTTTTTAATAATATTATTATTATTATATAATTATATTTATAATAATATAATTTATAATTATAATTGACTAAAATATTACAATCACTCTCGTTATTTTTAATTAATAATTATAGTTATTTTTTGAAAATATTCATTTATTACGTTGATCCCAAATTTTTTTATTAAAAAAATCTCCCAAGTAGGCCTTTATTCCTGGGAAATAGATATGCTCTATGCTTTTGTAGGACATATATGCTCAAATTATAATTGGACGAATGAGTATCAATTTAAATTATCTACGATCAAAGATATAAAATATACTATAAATTATAAATGACAAAGTAGAAAATAATTTTTCTACAATTTATATATGGCATACACCTAAAAAAATCAAAGTACAGTATGCCTCCAAACTTTATCAGATTCTAACGCAGAAACCTTATGAAGACTTGAATACCTATCTTCACCATGAAATTTAAAATTTCAAAAAATGACGTCTATCAAGCATATCTACGAGGACCCGGTTTCTATACGGACAAGCTTGCATATGTAGAAATATGGGCCTATTGATAAATTTATTTTTGAGATGGATTTTTTTATTTAATTTTTAAAGAAGTGTAATATCTAACATGGATATCATGAATATGGAAAAATAAGTAAATTTAAAAAACTAGAAATAATAATTCTAATAAGAAAACATTTGGACCGTTAGTTTCCATTGTTTATAGATGGAACACCTACTTGCATACATCTTAAAAATGGATGCTTTACATTTTTTGGACCGTATATGTAGTCATGTGGTTCAACCCGCATGAAACAATTTTCCTATCTATAAACATGTGAAACTCTTGAAAATGGATGGTCCAAACATATGCAACCACCCTTTGCACCCCACGCATCGCCCTGTCAAGATTATTGATTAGGGGATTTTCTAATCTTAAAACAACCTTTTCCATTGGAGTTTTATGATGTGCCTAACTTCTATAATATAATGTTCACATATTACATAGACTTACAAAATACCACTCACCTTATAGGGTGTGGTTTGTAAAGAGCCTAGGCTCTAAACAATCAAATTAGAGTCGGGAAATGTGATTTCAAGTCTGCAAATCTTTATGATAGCCTTAAAATATATTTTTATCTTTAGTTATAAAGTTTAAAGCTTCAAAAATAGTGTAGTTCGACAGAACTACGAAATCTTGAAAAGCTTGAAAAGTGACTATCAAAAAATGTGTTATAAAATACACAATTTCCAAAACTTGAAATCCATTTTTTTCTCATCTTGATGTCGAGCTTATCAATTTGAGGATATTTGGCATCAAAACAACCTATTCTATTGAAAATTTTTGTGGTGGGCTCCAATTTGATTGTTTAGAGCCTCAGTTCTAAACCATGGTTGTGGT